CTTTAAAGATGCAGTTGAAGCATTCAGTGAATGGAAGAAAGATGCCAAATTCTTCTAGAGATCAGTGTAATGTATCCAAAAGTGCCCATTCCCTAGAGCCTAGCATTTCACAGAAAAGTATTTTTCAGATGTTTCAGAGGTCCACAAAGTAATGCCTGGTAAAGGGAGTGCTTTGTGATCTAGTAAAGCTGGAGTGTGAAGCTCTTTTCTATCATGGAATCTTTATCCACATGTTACTCATGCTGCTCTCGGGGCACACGCATTGTCCTTAATAAAGGTCTGTGTGGTGGTGAGGGCTGCATAGACACATGTGCTTCTGCACAGCTCAGCGGTAAGTGGGGGTCCCTGTCGTTTCCTTAATAATGGATATGTATTAAGTTTTACAATTCTTATAGATAGCTTAAGCTTTGGCCAACTCCAGAAGTCTCCAAGTGCCACTGTCTTTCCAAAAAATGCATGTTTTATGGCCTTTGCTCACCTTTTCGTCATGACTGGTAATCAAAGCAATATTGTACTATTCTAAGTAATTAAGGAACCCATTCAGGGTTTAAAATGTATTTTCTTGCTATTGTCCCATGTTTTACAGAGTACTCAAAAGGTATTTTCCTAAAGTAATCTGATTTCCATCTCCAGTTTAATTCAGTTTTTGGCATTGTAGCATTTCCTTTGGTGTTTTTTGTTTGTTTGTTTTGTTTGACGGAGTTTCAAAATTTGGATTCGTATTCATATGTGGGAAATCCCAGATACTTCTTTTTTTTTTCCTTTTTTTTTCTTTTTTCTTTTGAGATAGAGTCTTGCTCTGTGGCCCAGGCTGGAGTGCAGTGGCGTGATCTCAGCTTACTGCAACCTCTGCCTCCCGGGTTCAAGTGAGTCGCCTATCTCAGCCTCCCGAGTAGCTGGGATCACAGGCATGTGCCACCCTGCCCAGCTTTTTTTTGTTTGTTTGTTTGTTTTGTTTTTTTTGTTTTTTTGTATTTTTAGTAGAGATGGGATTTCACCATGTTGGCCAGGCTGGTCTTGAACTCCTGACTCAGGTCATCCGCCTGCTTCGGCCTCCCAGAGTGCTGGGATTATAGGCATGAGCCACCATGCCTGGCCTGTTTCCTTTGGTTTAAAGTGGATTCGAATCAGTGTTAAATCAGAAAATCACGGTTTTTGGGAATTAGTTGCCAGAAAGGAAACTGGACTACGCAGAAGGAGTTAAGAGCTGGGATGAGGCTGGAAGGGGTGACCGACAGTCCGGATCATTGAAACTGGGTGGTCAGAATCTGGTCCGGATGAGGAGGAGGCTGGAAGGGGTGACTGACAGTCCAGATCATTGAAACTGAGAATCTGGTCCGGATGAGGAGGAGGCTGGAAGGGGTGACTGACAGTCCAGATCATTGAAACTGATTGGGTGGTCAAATCTGGTCTGGATGAGGATGAGGCTGGATGGGGTGACTGACAGTCTGGATCATTGAAACTGATTGGGTGGTCAGAATCTGGTCCGGATGAGGATTAGGCTGGATGGGGTGACTTTGACAGTCCGGATCATTGAAACTGGGTAGTCAGAGTCTGGTCTGGATGAGGATGAGGCTGGATGGGGTGACTGACAGTCCGGATCATTGAAACTGGTCCAGACTGACGCAGCAGGGGCCGTTTGGCAGAGCAGCAGGGGCCGTTTGGCAGAGCATCCTCTTCCCCGTCCTTTGTGAAAGAACACAGGAAACATTTGGGTTTTGTAGCTTTTCACCCCCTACTATCAGGCATCAAAATCAAAATTAGTTACTAAATTGTGTGAATTTTTGGAAACCTGCATTTCTATTCATCTGCTATTCCAGAGAAAAATGGGAGTGTATTACAGGAGAGTTACCTCACAGTATCTTATGTTGTGGAGCCTGAAACAACCATGTGTTTTCTTATATGTTCATTTGTGTTGATACTCCCTTTATTTGAGTTTATGAACAGAAATAGAAAGTATGGTGCTTGGGTTTTGCCCTTTCTTAACTCGTGACAGTTAAATCAGAAGACACTAATTTCATTTTGTGAAATTTAGCTCAGAGATGATTGATCTTTTGTTTCATTAACGTGAACAACGATTAGTAAAAAAACAGCTTTAACAGCATTTCTGCTGATATCTCGTAATCTATTCTTTAATGTGAAAATACGATAAAATGTCCTAGAGCTAATTCTAGCATAAATTTGCTGATATTTTTGTATGTCATTAGGTTTTTTCCCCCTAAGTTTGGTAATAGAAATTTTGTTAATCTTTGCATACTTGATGGCATCTATATCAATGTTGATTGGGTAATTATAAATTCTGTGCTAATTTAAAACTTCATTTGCCTCTTAAGGTGATTGCCCTCTGAGTAATGATTGTAGTTAAATGAAGTGTAGTTTGCAACTATTACTATCACATTGGTTGTTAAGTAAAAATAAATAAACCCAGTTTGGCTAAGACAGACCAAGATCAATCTTCTCATCAAATCAGTATTTCTCTAAGAGCAATTTCACTTTAAGTTTTAGGGTGGACATTCTTGGAATGCCTCAAATTAAAAGTTATCTATTTAATAATCTTCCTGGAATAGTCTGTGACCAAAAAGGAGGGTGTGGTATATTTAGGTGTAAATGTATCACATACATGGTATGATATATTTAGTATTTATATATTCAGCTAATTCTCTGTGAAGAAGTCTTCCTGACTAAAATTGGTTTCCAGATAAACTAATTTCTGTTAGTATTTCTACTGTGCCTACCATGTATGACTTTTTGTTAGAAACTGATAAATGTATCAGTCACTAGCATGTACTGGTTCTTTTTCCTCTCATTTTTGTGGAAAGGATATGCAAGCATTGAATTTCTCAGGGAGTACTAAGGCTGTGCAGAGGCTGAGAATCTGAAAAATAAAATATTAAAAATAAAAATGGATTATTATGTGTATTTTACCACAACTTAAAAATATATAAAAATCAGCTACATAAAAATTAAAAGTTCTGCATAACAAAAACTACCATCAAGGGAAATTGGAAGCTGTGGCAAACTTGGGAAGAAATAGTTGCAATTCATCACAAAGAGCTAATTTCCTTTATGTAAAGTATCTGCCAGTTCATTAAGAAAAGACCAAAAACTCGGCCAGGTGCGGTGGCTCACACCTGTAATCCCAGCATTTTGGGAGGCCGAGGTGGGGAGATCACCTGAGGTCAGGAGTTTGAAACCAGCCTGGCCAACATGGTGAAACCCTGTCTCTACTAAAAATACAAAAATTAGCTGGGCATGGTGGCGCATGCCTGTAATCCCAGCTACTC